TACTAATTCAATAACATTTTTTAAACATTTGCTTTCAGATTGATAATGATACAAGTTTTATTTTTTGATTTAGATTCTGTATCTCAATGATATCCTGGCTTATCGATACGATATCCTGTAAATCCACTCACACACATAAATTTTACTCACATACGTAAATCCTGTAAATTCACTCACACAAATAAATCTTAAAAAAGATGTTTATATTTTTATCTATAAATTGTAAATTTTATATAAATAAATTGTTTATTTTTTATGTTTTTCATTGTATATTACTATTTGTATTAAAAATCGACTTTGGAAATATTGCAAGTGCAGAGTTCAACATACAATTTTGTTTTATTTGCAAATTCAATATACATTATAACCAAGTTTAATCACGTTTAATAATATTTTGCGATATTTTCTCCAGCGCATTTGAGCGTTGATTTAACGTTATATTTCAAGCTTTACTCGACGTCTTTGAGTCACGTTAAATCGACGTTTTATTACCAACGTTACAAATCCTTGCAAAATCGACTGCTTTAACAACGTCAAAGTAACGCTTTTCAAGTAACGCTTTTTCAACGTTTAGTTGAGACATTTTTGTAACGTCTTTTAGTAACGTTTTTTCAACGTTACGCTACAACGTTTAATCAACGTCTCTTTAACAACGTGGCATATCTTTGCAAAATCGATTACTTTGTCAACGTTTCCGCAACACCTTTTGCGACCGGTTTTTAACGTTGATTCAACGCTGACATGTTTGCTGGGTGTTTACATTTCATACACATGTATCAAAATTAACGGCAGGAGCAAGAAGAAGGCACAGTTTGCCTTATCGCCGAGTCCCACATATAAAAAAAAAAATTCTGCATAAAAAAAAAAACTCTACATAACCGTAACATACAAATATATATAATACAAATATATAAAATATAGATCAGAATTAAAACAGAAAATAACTGAGAAAATTAAAAAATTCAAAATAGCAAATAATTAAGAATTGTTGAAATGCTAACAACCGCTAAAATATTTAAAAATCATTTAAACAAAAAGTTCTAAATTAAAAAAAAAATTTCATAATTAACATTATCACAAGATGAATTTTTAACATTATTACTTAAATTTAATTGATATAAATAAATTTGTTTTCATTTGATTAAACTTTAAAATAAACATTTGAAGTCAGATAAATTAAGATCCCTGAATAGTAAAAATTGTTTTGATTCATTTCTAAATTGTTCTAATGTAGTCTTGTTTTTGTTGACAATATCTGGGAATTTTTTCCACAGATAAGGTCCGCGATATTTAATTGAATAGGAGGTTAATTTTAAATTATACTTGAGAAGAACAAAGTTGTTATCAGAAAACTTTGTTGATTATTTATGATTAATTTTATTAAAATAGGTTTGAAAAAATATTGAGGACAATCCCATTTTTGTTTTAAACATAAACAATAAAACTTGGTGTAAATTAAGTTTATACACATTTAAAGCACCGAGTGTACGTAAAAGTGGTTTGCAAGGAGTATTTCTGTAGGCTCCAAACACTATTCTGCATGCATATTTTTGTTTGTTGTAGATTTTCTTAAGTTTTGTGTAGCCATTACTAGCCCACACAATATTACAGTAAGACAAATAACTGTGAATAAAGGCAAAATATAATTTTTTCTGGGATGCTACATTTACCCTTACAAAAAAACCCAGCGAACTTCCAGCGAAAGTTCGCTGGAAATTAAAAGATCACTGGAAATTTACTAAGATCACTGGGTTTTCGCTGGATTTCCATGGAAACAAAAGACTTCGCTGGAAATCCAACGAAAAACTTCCAGTGAACTTAAAGTTCGCTGGGTTTCTTGCGAAATATTTCGCGGTGATGTAAAAAGCGTTGCTGTTACAACTTCTGCAAGCAGTTAAAACTTGGAAAATTGATAATATAGCTTCTTAAAATAATATTTCAAATTTTTGTATAAAAGTAATCCTTTTTATTTTATTTTTTGCATCTATAGTGTGAGTTTTGATCTATAGTGTGAGTTTCAATTATTATTAGTTCTACTCAAGTTACAAAACAAAATCATCTGGTATGTTGCTCAAAATGTTTATTTCTCTTAAGTATTGTTTATTATGCATTCGCTTTATGCGAATGCATTTTATTTATTAAATTCAACTTTATTATTTTATAAAAATAATTTTTATAAATGTCTTTATGATTAAGTATTTTATATTAAAAATAATAAATAACAATCTGTTTCTCTCTCTCGCTGAAAGAGAGGAATATATAATATATATCCCTCTCTCTCTCAGTATATATATATATATATATATATATATATATATATATATATATATATATATATATATATATATATATATATATATATATATACATATATATATATATATATATATATATATATATATATATATATATATATATATATGTATATATATATATATATATATATATATATATATATATATAAAATATGTTAGTGTATTCTACAAATAGAGTGCTCAACGTTCTTAAAGAACAGAGCAATAATGAATTAGTATATATATATATATATATATATATATATATATATATATATATATATATAATATATATATATATATATATATATATATATATATAAAATATGTTAGTGTATTCTACAAATAGAGTGCTCAACGTTCTTAAAGAACAGAGCAATAATAAATTAGTATATATATATATATATATATATATATATATATATATATATATATATATATATATATATATATATATATAAAATATGTTAGTGTATTCTACAAATAGAGTGCTCAACGTTCTTAAAGAACAGAGCAATAATAAATTAGTAAAAACACTTATCTAATTTTTATTTTCTTCTACAGCTTGTTTCTCCATCAGTAGGATCATCAAGAAGGAATCTTTCTGATGATCCAACTGATGGAGAAACAAGCTGTAGAAGAAAATAAAAATTAGATAAGTGTTTTTACTAATTTATATATATATATATATATATATATATATATATATATATATATATATATATAAATATATATATATATATATATATATATATATATTTGTGAAGTTGCTTTAAGTACTAATAAGCAATGTACAAAATGTTTGAAATATTTTACATTATCCTATCTTTATAAGAAATGCAGTTATTTTCATATTTTAAAAATAAACAAACAGCATAAAAACATGTGTGATAACAATTGGATACATTTAGCAAGTCTTGAAGAAAATGTGCAAGCAACAATTAGACTTGTTGTTAATACTGATGGAATTCCTGTTTTTAAATTATCAAAGTGGACCTTGTGGCCTTTGCTAGCATCCATTCATAATTTTCCATATTCATTGCAAATTACTAATATTTTGTTTTTTGGTTTCTGGTCCAGTTTTAAAAAACCAAACGTGCAATTACTTTTATCTTGTTTTGTTGATTTTTTACTAACCTATCCACTACTGGTATACTCTTATCTAACAATGTTCGTGTTTTTTTTCATGTATCTATTTTTTTGTGTGATACAATTGCAGGAGCTATGGTTTTTTGTTGTAGGTAGTTTAATGATTATAATGGTTGCCATTGGTGTTCTTCTCAAGGAGTAAGAGTTAAAAAAAGGTAGGAGGTCTTGTATGACTTATCCATTTTCTGATGTTAATGGGAGTTGTAGAAACCATACAGATTTTTTTTGGATTAATGTGATTAAAGGGTTTTTAGATTTTTATACATTTGTAAGAGTACCTAATTTTAATTGTGAAAATGGAACAGTTGTTAATAATCTGCACTGTATTGAGCTTGGTGTTATGAAAGCTATGTTTTCTTTCTGATTTGATAGTTATTATTCTGGTTATATTTTTTCTATTAGAAGACACTGTACTGTTGTAAATAATCTTTTATCTGCAATCAGTGTGCCAAGCAATATAAGACAGACTCGATGATCATTAAGTTGTATAAAGCATTGGAAAGGTATTGAGTTTTTTACTTTTTTAGTTTTTTATGGTCCTGTTATTTTATGTGATGTTTTGCCTCCTCAGTTTTTTGACCATTTTACTCTTTTATCTAATATTGTTTTTACGTTGAACAATAAGGTATTATCTGAAAGTGTAATTAATGAAGCCACATTATTAGTTAATAGATTTTTTTATGAGTTTTCTGATTTGTATGGTAAAGAAAATATGTTTTATATTAAAGAGTTATTTTAAAGCAGTTATATATATACAAAGCTTTTTTTAAAGCAGGTATTATATTTTAATGCAGTTTTTATTTAAGTAAACTAAAATCTTTCTCTCTCTCTCTCTATCTATACATCTATATATATATATATATATATATATATATATATATATATATATATATATATATATATATATATATATATATATATATATATATATATATATATATATATATATTATGTATATATATATATATATATATATATATATATATATATATATATATATATATATATATATATATATATATATAAATTTTATACAGTATTTATTATATGTTTTTATAAAATTGTTATTGATGTCCTTTAAATATTGTATAAACCATCTTTTTTTTTTTAGCTTTAAAGACCCAAACGAAAATACTTTTAAAGTCAATTTTCGCAATTCTGTTTGTTTTGTTGTGCTAATTTGTCAGTAGAGAACCAACAGACCACTGACTTCATAATTTTTCCATCTAAAATTATACTAAAATATCCTAATAAATACAATTTGAATTAGATGATATAAGTTATCAGAGAAAGTAAACAAAGTACACTTATTCGGAATAAAAAATGTAACTACTGCCATTTGGTTCTCGACTTTTTTGAAATGGGCTAAAAAACATGCTTAAGCATCATATTGCCTATAAGATATACTTACTGCAATATTTTTCTTTTTCACTAATATACAGGTTTAAGTTTTGCTTTATAATGACTATTATGTTTTTTACAGATTTAAATATCTATATCAGTACAGAAAAGTAGAGCTGTATGATTTTTTGTTTTGTTGATTTAAACAGTTGAAAATTTAAAAAAAAATTAGTTTAAAAATTGTAAAGTTCCTTACAAAAAAAAAACCAGAAAACTTCCAGTGAAAGTTTGCTGGGTTTTTAAATTAAAATTATTTAGTTATTATAATAATTGATTATATATATATATATATATATATATATATATATATATATATATATATATATATATATATATATATATATATATATATATATATATATATATAATTAAGTTTTTATTATTTTATCTATAATTATTATTTTTATGCAGGATAAAAGTGATAAAATGCTATTGGTTGGAAATTGATAAATTAATAAAAAATGATTGATTCTAATTGCGCGAAAATATGTTGGTATGTTTTTATCTATCTTATACTGTTTTATTTTTGCTTATCATTTCACATTTTGTCTTATTTTGAATATTATGTTTTATATAATTATTAGTTAGTGTTTGTAAAACACTAACTAATTTTGATTGCTTTTAGATTTTGGATACTGCCTCTACCATTAACAAATTAAAAATAAAAGAAGCACTTCATATTAAATGGGAAAATCCTAAATATAAATTTATCTAACTAACTTACGACATTATTATTGTTATTTTAATATTAGGAGGTTTATTTTGCCATAATTTGTAATAAAATTTTTAATTGATTTGTAGCAAGTTTATTTGTCCATTAATTTTTCTCTGTATTGTCTTCAGTTTTTAAATTTATTTACCAGAATATATATATATATATATATATATATATATATATATATATATATATATATATATATATATATATATATATATATATATATATATATATATATATATATATATATATATATATATATATATATATATATATATATATATATATATATATATTAGTAGAAAGTCACTTAATAGAAAATTTTTTAAAAGTTTTCGATGTAACAGTGTAAAATGAAAAAAAATTTTTGTTAAGTAATTTTCTACTTATTTATAATTGCTCTGTTCTTTTAAGAACATTGAGCACTCTATTTTGTAGAATACATTTTGAATATTGTTTAAATATTAGTTTCTTGTTAAAAATTGTATTCTGTATTGAAGTTTATTTCTGAGAATTTGTAATTATACCTAAGATAATCTAATCCTACATTGTATTTTAATTTATAAAACTCGATATTTTAAAATAAATATATTACTTTTTTATCGCGCTTAACTTCTCTTATTTCGCGTTTATTGGTTAAAAAATTTTAAAATGTTTATAAACTTTTGAAACTTTTATAGCAAAAATAAAAAATCTTTTTTAAAAAAACTTCCAGCGAATCTATTTTTATACATAAACATGAAAATTCGCTAGAAAAGTTCACTGGAAGTTCGCTGGGTTTTGGAACAAGTTCGCTGGAAATTTCCAGCGAACTTCCAGTGATCTTTAAAGATCACTGGAAAAGTTCGCTGGAAGTTCGCTGGGTTTTGGAACAAGTTCGCTGGAAATTTCCAGTGAACTTTAGAGATCACTGGAAAAGATCACTGGAAGTTCGCTGGGTTTTGGAACATTTTTTCACTGGAAGTTCGCTGGGTTTTTTTGTAAGGGTAAAAAAGGTTTAGCCTTAAACATCATTGCGATATTTTTTGAGAGTCTTGTTTCAATACTATTTATATGTGAATACCACTTTATTTATTACTAACGATTATTTTCAATAAACACATTTTATTTAAATTATCTATGGTTTTTATTTGATTATTAAGATAAAAATAAGTGTTTTATTTATTTGTTTTTATAAATAATATATATATATATATATATATATATATATATATATATATATATATATATATATATATATATATATATATATAAATTTAAATTTGTAAAACTATTTCTATAATTTATTTATAACCAACAACAACTTTAAATATGCTACCTGATACCTGGCGAGCATGTTTGAACTGTTTCTGATAGATATCTATCAGATCTACGATCTGACAGATATCTATCTGCTTTATCAGATCGACGATATTGTTACCTTACATGAAACTATTGAGACTTGTTCAAAATTTTGAAACTATTGAGACTTGCTCAAAATTTTGAAAACTCACAATTTTGTACCAAAATTATTCTTCAAAATAAAGAGAACCTTTTGAAACCCAGTGAAATTGATATTGGATTTGCTGCTGAATAATCAATGTCAAAGCTCAGAAAGAATGATGAAGTTGTTTTGAAGGATATTCAAAGCTCAGAAAGAATGATGCAGTTGTTTTGAAGGATATTCAAGAATTAAAAATTCGATGCATGCATATTTTGATATCAGCTGCTGAAAAGTAATTTAAAAGTTGAAAATTTAAAATTTAAACGATAAAAATTTAAAAGATTAAAAATTTAAAAGAATAAAAAGATGTTCGCTTGATTCCGAGGTTGTTAGCGCAAGTACTTGTTTGTCAAATTTTTATGCTCAGTTTACACCTGAAAAAAAAAATAAAATAAAAAAATGTCAAATAAAAACATTGCTGTATTATCTTATCTCGCTAAAAATATTAACAGCATCTTATTCCAACAAGGTTATCAACCATCTCTCAAAGATTATGTTATCAAAATTTGAAATGAATCAGGATGTACTTTTTGTAAATGCAATGCATTTTAGTGAAGCTGCACTGAGCAGTGTACGCCTTAGGGATGAATAATAAGTTAAAAAGAGTTTAGCAGAGTGAGATAAAAGTACAAAAGGACAGATGTCCAGAGGAAAACACAGAGCCTCAAAGTGGAAAAATAATAAAAACTGATATCAGTAAGGTGTGGTAAAAAGTAAATAAGAATAATAAATAACAGTCAAGGAAAGTCATTAGTTGTTGTGCTACTAAATTGTTGTTAGAGTCCAGCGTAAATGTGATTTATAGATAGAATTGGTGATGGAGTAAAATGATTCGTTTTATAAGTAGTCACTATGTGGTATCTATTATTAGGATGATAATCATACATTATAGATATAAGTGTCATGAACGTCTCGAGTACAATATGGATTCGTGCCTTATGGTGCAGTGTGAACACATAAAGACCTCCAGCTTTCATCCGAGACTGGTATCCCAAAAGAAGTTCCACTCTGGGTCTACACCAGGGTATCTTTTTAAGGTATCCCATTGTGTTATCCCAAAAATACAGGAAAGGTAATTACGCGAATCTAAACGAGAAACTCTCCCAAGTCGATTGGGTTAGTTTATTTAAACACCGATATGCCGACGAATGTTATCAAATCTTCTGCGACAACCATATCAAATTATGTGACAAATTTATTCCGCGTGTCACCTCCAAACCGACCAAACACAAGCAACTTTTTTTACTAATTAAACGTAACTTTTTATACTAATTAAACGTAAGAAAAAACTTTGGTACCTCAACCGCAACAGCAAATGGCGAATCATTCCTCTTGTCAAAGAGTATAACCAAACTCGAAACCTTGTCAAAAAAGCTTCCTGCTCTGCAATTAGAGCATTTGAACACAAATTAGCTAGCGACAAATGGAACCCTAAGCGTCTATACGCTTATGTAAACAACAAACGCGCTGTCAGTAAGCAGATAACTTCTATGTGCTCACCCGCTGGGGAAATAAGTAGCGAACACGCATCCATAGCCAATACACTTAACAGCCAGTTCCAGTCAGTATTCACAATTGAACCATCAGATCAACAACTACCTCCCTTTGTTAAACGTACAACCGCTTTAATCTCCTCCGTCATCTTCAGCTATGATTCCGTTCACAAACACCTATCTGCTCTCAACGCCAATAAATCAACTGGAGATGATGGTATCAGTCCATTTGTGCTTAAAACATGCGCTGATGCGGCTGCTACCCCGCTCGCCATCATTTTTCAGAAATCGATGGATCAAGGTGTAGTCCCAAAAGCGTGGCTCTCGGCAAACGTGACGCTACTGTTCAAAAAAGGCTCCAGACTCGACCCAGAAAACTATAGGCCTATCTCCATCACCTCAGTACCATACAAAATAATGGAAAAAATTGTTAAAGAAAAGATTATGCAGCACCTTGTAGCTCATAAGCTTATTGCTGATTGCCAGCACGGCTTCGTCAATAAAAAAGCATGCGTCACGAATCTGCTTGAGGCCATGGTCTTTCTGACTTACAACGTTTCTCGCAAGCTTCCAGTAGATGTTCTTTTTCTTGACTTCGCCAAAGCCTTCGATAAAGTCCCTCAGAGAAGATTACTTCAAAAACTTGAATCCTACGAAATCGAAGGTAACGTTCTTAACTGGATAAAAGCTTTCCTTTCAAATAGATCACAGCGTGTCATATTAGGTAAAACGTCATCCACCTGGGTAAAGGGTACCGGTGGCGTTCCGCAAGGTTCAGTGCGAGGTCTTACGCTGTTCATAATATTTATTAATGACTTACCCAAACACATCAGTAGCAAAAACTTATGCAAAATGTATGCAGACGATACTAAAATCCTGAGTGTTGTCAAAACCACTGAAGACAAAGCTCGTCTGCAATCCGATATAGATAGCGTTGTTACCTGGACTCGAACCTGGTTAATGGAAGTCAACATCAAGAAAAGCAAAGTCATGCATTTCAGTAAGTACAATGTTTCCCCACACATTTATTTAATAAACGAGTACGACGCTAACGGTAGCGTCACTAGAACAGTAATCGAGTCTTCAACATCCGAAAAAGATCTAGGCGTTCAAATTTCCAACGACTTAAAATATGAGAGGCAAGCACAAATAATAAAGTCCTCGGAACATTGAAAAACACGTTTATAAGCAGAGATACCAAAATATGGAAAAAACTTTACACCACTTATATACGCCCACATCTCGAGTTTGCAGTTACTACCTGGTGCCCGCATCTTGAAAAAGACATAAATGTCATAGAACGTGTTCAGCATTGGGTTACCAAAGTACCGCACAAAATAAAGCGCTTCGATTACGAGACAAGATGCATCAAACTCGGTCTCACCTCTCTATTAAACAGACATTTACGCGGCGACCTCATTCAAAAATATAAATTCGAAAATAGTATCGACTCAATTAGCTG